TTGAAATTTAATTTTAAAATTATTGAAAAACTCTGATTTTTCTTTTTAATCTCTGGCTAAAACTTGTAACTAGTCTTTCTCCCTCAAACTAACTTCAAATTTGATGATTTTTCCTAATTTTTTTTAAAATCATGCTCTATCAATCTACTGTGTTCTTACAGCTATTATTTTATTCATCTTTTCATGTGACTGTTTTTAATGAATTTTTAATTTCAAAAAATGGCAACTTCAAATGTTATTTTGAAACATTAAATGATTTTAGCTGAAAAAGTCATAAACATAAAAGTTGTAGAACTCATCAAGATCTACAACTTTTATTTTGGTCATTTCTTCATCAACAAAGTGGTAGCAACATTGTTCACAAAATTTACATCTCTCTCTTATATATAGTTTCATAAATTATAAGAGAGATATGTAAAATTTGTGAACAATATTGCTACCACTACGTCGGATGACCAAATGACCAAAATAAAAGTTCTAGATCTCAGAAAGTTATAGAACTTTGTAGTTGACAACTTTTCTATTTGAATTCATTATGTCAAGAAAAACTACGTTTGAATTCCTCAAAAATTCAAAATTTGGATTTTCAAACGACCTCGGATGTAGAAACAACTAAAATAAAAGTTGTAGATCCCAAAAAGTTATACAAATTTGTAGTTGACAACTTTTCGATTTCAAATTATCTTGTCAAAAAAATACATTTAAATTTCCAAAAAATTAAAATTTAAATTTTTTAAACGACCTCGGATGGATAAATAGCAAAAATGAAAGTTGTGGATCTCAAAAAGTTATGAAACTTTATAGTTGACAACTTTTTGATTTGAAATTATTTTGTCAAGGAAAACTACATTTGAATTTCTAAAATTTAAAATTCAAATTTTGTAAACGACCTAGGATGGAGAAACTACCAAAATAAAAGTTGTAGATCTCGAAAAAATTATAAAACTTTGTACTTGATAACTTTTTCATTTGAATACGTTTTGGGCCTCAAATAATCAATTTAAACTCGGTTTAGGATAATATGTGAGGAACCAAAATTCAACATAGACACAAGTGAATGTGAGGTACAGTGGTAGAGGAGGGTACATGTGAGTGGGGGTCGTCGGTTCGAAAAAAATTTAGGGGCGGGTGGCTGATCGTTGGGGCCTCTCCGGATTTAAAAAATTTCCTTTTTTTTTGCCCCAGATTCATTAATTTTTGGAAACGGGTTTGTAGGGGCGGCTCTATATCCAACCAACCTACAGATCATCAGCCGCCCCTATAAATCCACGATTTATAGCGACGGATGGTAGGGACGGCTGGCCAAACCGTTCCTATAAACCCGTTTGAGCCATCCCTATAAATCTTTAGTGTAGTAGTCTGATGTGCAAGTAGGGCTGGATATCGAGCCAGATGGGCTCGGCTCGGTCTAGCTCGAGCTGGCTCGTTAGGCTAATGAGCCAGCTCGGCTCGACTCATTAATATTACGAGTTCGAGGGGCAGCTCAGCTCGGCTCGTTAGCGAGTTCAAACGGGCTCATTTAGCTCGTGAGCTACTAAAAAATAGGATAAAATAGGACAGACATGTTTATAATGTTCATGCAACAATAATTCTAGAAGGTGACGTCCACCATTATGCATCCATACATGATTAATACATATTAGGTTCATCAAAAGTATCAACCATGCAACATAGCTGGTATATCCATGATCCATGCAGTTTCAGCATATTTACTAGTTGCTTGCCACCACAGACTTAGGAAAGTCCACAAATTCAATGTCAGCATCATCATCTTCTCCCTGAAAAACAATCCATAAATCAACATTTAAGTACCATAGCAATTATAAAATCAAAATTCATATGAAACAGCTGAAAATAAGGATTATGTATCAATGGAATAGTTGTACACTTCTAGATTAGCATTATCTTCTAGATTCATAGTCGTGGGCTGATAGGCATCAGCTCGTTTGAGCTCGTGAGCAGCTCATGAGCTGGCTCGGGCTGGCTCGTTAAAACAGCGAGCTAGACTTTCAGCTCAGCTCGTGAAAAAGTTAAAACGAGCCGAGCCGGACACGAGTCGAGGGAGTTGACGAGCCGCGAGTATTTTGTCCAGCCTTATGTGCAAGTGTATGAAAGGTGATGTAACCTTCAACATGGCTTACATGGGGTTCCAAGAGGCATGCAGTGAAGACTGAGGTGATGAAGACCACGTTGAGCCACATAAGCAAGAGGGTATCAATTGATTCAAATCAATGGATGGACCAAGAGTAAAAGCACAATTAGAGATCCGTTATAGAACCATATGAGAGGAGCAGCATAGAAAAATCTAGATGTTCATTTTTCCTCTCTAAAAATTGAAATCTGAATCGGGGCAAGTTCGTGTGACGGTTCTAGTCATAGAAACTCATGTAGCTAAGAATAGATACTAGAGTTTAGTTGCATAGAAATTTGATGACCTGGGCATAGAAATTTCAAGTTCCTCCTCTTTCTCTAGAATTTGAAATTTTAGTTTGACTGGTTCGTGTGACTTAGTTTATCATGATTCTGATCATAGAAATTCATGCGTTAGGGTATAAGAACTAAAATTTGGTGACATAGAAATACGTTGGTGCGATCCTATAATAAATTGAGATATTATCTTACTCTCAGAAATTTAAGATTTGAATGGTAGAAATTAGCAAAGTTAGGAGAACTTTTACCGTTTTCTCTATCTAACAAGAATGGGCTACGCCAACTCTGAATTTTGAAACATACCATCCTAAGGCCATGGCCCGACTAATTTGTTGTGAGAGAAAAATATAGTTTCGACTAAAAAAATAAGCTGAAAAAGACGGATTATAAGATAAACGAACATGGCGCAGTAAAGTAAAGGCTTGTCCATGGGCCGTGCTCCAGAGGATATTAAAATGCTTTCCAGCAAGGACAAAAGAAGGGTGACAGCAACGGGAACTATGCAGTTTCGAGATATACGAGATCTTATCCATGAACACCATTTCTATATGCTCTGATATCCATCTTATTTCTCGCTATTGTATAACTTGGCTGCACATGAGTTGGCTGGATTAGCTTTGATTTGGGACTTGGGACTTGTGTCAGTCGTTTGTTTGGGTTGGACCCTGCCCACTAATCTTGTATCTGAGTTAGTGGCTCGCAATTTGGAGAAATCCACACACATTATTGGTAGCTCGTAATTTGGTGAAGCACTTAAAATATGTGCTTAAAACATGTGTGTATAGCCATAGCAATATATTTAAAACCATATCTATTTTTGCGACATATAAATTAAACATTTGTAACATACACCTGAAACAGATGAAACAATTGAAACATTCGTGTATAGTCATTGCAACATGTGCAACACGCCAAGATTTACTTTTGAAATATGCAGACGAAATATTTGTAACATACGCCTGAAACACCAGAAACACTTGAAACATAGGCTTGCAACATGCATATTTTGTCATTGTAACATATGCCACATCCAGATAAAACACTTGAAACATAAGTCTGAAACAACTAAAACACTTAAAACACGGCATTCGTCGTGCGGCCACGGCCTACCTAGCAGGGAACTGTGATAGATCGCCAATTAGCACAGGGAGCGCATGGAGGCCACCCTGGCAAAGCCGCCGGAGTGGCAACGGCGTGGCCCAGTGGAGCAAGGAGACCAAGGAGGGCCGTCACCCATAGGGGCCCACGAGGAGTGCCATCTCCTAGGCCGCCCCTAACGCCGTGGCTACTCTAGCACCCTCGCCACCGCCGACGGCACGTACCCCATCGGAGCCGACTGGCCGGGCAGCGACGAGGTGGGGGACGGACGTGGTTGTGCGTGTGTGGGTGGGGTGGAGATGAAGCGCACGGCGCGGCGCAGGACGGAGCACAACGTGCGGATGGGGAGCCAAGCATCGCGGGCGCGAGCGAGCGGCGGGGAAAGGTGGCAGCAACAAGGCAAAGTGCGGGCATTGCCACGATTCGAGACTGGGTGCTGCCAGGGCCGGGTTCGAGAGGAAAGTGAACAAAGATTTTTATTTTTTTAGCAACGTGAGCGACCGTGCCATTGATATGAGCCGTTCGGGCGGGCAAGGCCCGCCAACGTAGGCGACCGGAGGATTGGACGTCTTACCCACATCATTTTCGAATAATTATGTGAGTTTTAATGATATAGAGATCTTTATATATTTCTGAAGTTAGTATATTTGTGCCGAGGAAGTACTAAAGGTGGTTATATGATTTTTCACCTCCCAATTGGACAATCCATATACATTGAAATGCTGCAAAGCTTAAACGCTCACATAAACTCGAGGTACTTTTGACTTTAGATTCCAACGCGCCAGGAAAAAAAGGTTATTCGTAAATCGTAATACATTTTAATTAATAACAGCAAACTCAGCTCCATTTCGCACCAAGAGATAAGTGATGAACTACTCTGTCTCCCGAACGAGCTACACGCCCACTCTGAATTCTGAAATAGACCGTCCTAAGCCCATGGGCTGCAAAGTAAGTACTCAGATCGGGTGGGCTGAGACTAAGGGGAGTGGAAGTTAGAAAGGCCTTGCAGAAAGGACCAAAAGAAAGGCCTTGCAAACGGCCCATCTTATTGGTTCATACGCTGGTGGCGACGGGACATAAGAAACTCCAGAGGCTTTCAGAGTAACAATCGATCCATCATCAAGGCCAACGGTTTATAATAATAATTATTAGCACACATTTATCTTAGCTTTTCTTCAGAAGAAACAAGGTACTCGAGCTTTTATTCTCACGTACATCTCAACAGCATTTATTCATAGTACCCAGCACACACTTGCACTCAACGATCGTCATGGAATAGTCTTCAGCTCGACCCAGTGGCGGAGTTAGAGAAAATATAAGGAGGGTGCGTTTGCCTTATGGGTGCGTAGACTTTTATTTTGAAGGTGCGAATATGATAAAAATTTAGCTATAATTATTATTTTTCTATTTTTTCGTAGGTGCGACTGCACCCACTAATGACTATATACATCCGCCCATGGCTCGATCCATCACTAGGAGTGAGCCTTCTCACTAGGAAGTAGGATGAGTCTGGCATTTTTTGCCTGAAAAATCAACATCATATCTTTCAGAGACCAATTCTCATCAGTTGTTAGCTAACAAATTAATTCCACGAGCAAGTTAACTATGTTTCGGATCAATGTGGCGAAAGTGAGGAAACTGACCTCGGCCGGCATTGGTTCGCCCTGCAGGAATTGCTGGAACAGGAAGAGCGCCTGTTCTGGGCGGTGCAGTGGAACCTCGTGCCCAGCGCCGCGGACAGTGACGAAGGTCAGCCCGTCGTACTCCATGCTCCAGCCGCCAACCTGAATATCATCATGACATCATAGTCATATACTCCGTAGCAAGTATATATGGAGCACAAGAAGACTCACTGTATCTATGAGAAATAACTCAGGATTCAGAGACACTGACCTCAGTTGGGACAATGTACCAGGGGTACCAGCTACTTTTTACAGGAAGGCCCAGGGCAGCAAGAGAGTGCCTGGTCGCGCTCAGCGGCACTGCAGTATCCGTGTCACCACTGCAAATGAAAAGACATGCATGCATTTTAGTTTGTTGCAGAGAAATTGGCAAGAAACTCTCTGAAGAAACGCATAGTAGGTGAGGTATACAGGCAGCTTGATCATATTACACTACAGGAAACTGGCTCTTTGCCGACTGCAATTTTCTTTGCCAACTGTTTTTTTCGACACTCGGCAAAGAGGTCCCTTTGCCAACTGGAATTTCCTGCAGTCGGCAAAGCAGGATTTGCCGACTGCCTGGCTTTGCCGACTGCCAGCGGTTGGCAAAGAATTGCGATCGGCAAAGGCAGGCCATGGTTGACGCCATCCACAAGTCACCTTTGCCGACGACCACTCCGTCAACAATCGGCAAAGCGCGCGAGCTTTATAATTGCCATCCTCCACGGCGTTCGGCAAAAAATTTTTATTTTTTTTTGATTTTCGATCCCGTTTTTTGTGTTGCCTTGATCTGATAAGTACATGATATATTCCAAGTTTGGGATCATTTTGATTTATTTTGCTATATTCCGTAGATTTTTTACATTTCTTTGATTTTTTCCCAAGCGACTCGATTTGAGCTGCGGTACATGAAATAATGGAATCCGTGATTCGAAAAATGATATTCATGATGTTTGGAGCATGTTGAGGCCGTGTCTTGGGCCTCGCGTGAAATTCGACCGTGTTGGTGTCGGAACACGCAGAAACCACGCACGCGTGAAAAGTGTTTTTAAATTTTATAAAATCGAAACGAGTCCGAAAATGACGAAACTTGACGACGTGTCTTGTCATCTCCACATGTGATAACTTGTTATCACATGTGGAGATGTCCGAGTTTTAGCCACCCGGCGTCGCCACTTGCTCGAAACTTTCTCAAATTTTACCCACAGCCTCAAGGTGCGATGACAAGACACGTCGTCAAGTTTCGTCATTTTCGGACTCGTTTCGATTTTATAAAATTTAAAAACACTTTTCACGCTGCGTGTTCTGGCGTGTTCCGACACCAACACGGCCGAATTTCACGCGAGGCCCCGCAAGACACGGCTACTCAACATGCTCCAAACATCATGAATATCATTTTCTGAATCATTGCCGGATTCCATTATTTCATGTACCGCAGCTCAAATCTGAGTCACGGAAAAATCAAAGAAATGTAAAAAATCAATGGAATATAGCAAAATAAATCAAAATGACCCCAAACTTGGAATATATCATGTACTTACATCAGTAGCAAGGCAACACAAAAAACTGGGATCGAAAATCAAAAAAAAATTAATTTTTGCCGATCGCCATCGATGGCAAGGCTGGCAAGAGCCTTTGCCGATCGCTGTGGAGGATGGCGATCGGCAAAGAATTTCTCGAGAAAAAAATCAAAATAACCTTTGCCGATCGCCAGGGAGCAGAAGCGATCGGCAAAGTATTTTTAAAAAAATTAAAAAAATAATTTTTGAAAAAAAATAATAGACCTTTGTTGATCACGTCACATGTCGGCAATCGGCAAAGGGAAAAAAAAAAAAAAAAAAACGCCGCTTATCCGCTCGGCCGCCCTCCCTCCCAAAATCCCTTGCCATGCGCCACCCAGGCCGCCCATGCCGTCGCCGGCCGCTCGCCCGGCCGTCTTGCCCCTCCCCGGCCTGCTGGCGCCCATGTGCTGGCCTGGCCCTCCCCGGCGGCGCCCCCATTGGTCCCCTCCCGTGGCGCTGGCCCTCCCATGTGTGGCCCTTCCCCGGCCGGCCCCCATGTTCCGCCACCCCCGTCTTGGTCCTCCCGTGGCGGCCCGCCCTCATGGGCCAAGTGTCCTCCCATGGCCCCATGGTGGTCCCCCGGCGTGGCGCCCTCCCAGGCGTGGCCCTCCTCGTGGCCCCCCCCCCCCACTGGTCCCTCCCCCAAGGCGCGCCCTCCCTGCGTGGCTCGCAGCCCTCGGCGGCGCCTGGGTCCTCCCAAGGCGCGTCCCCCAGCCGGGGCCCCAGGCCATTGGCCCTCCGCGCCCGGCCGCCCAGTGAGCCCCTCACTGTGCCGCCCTTCGCCCGATCCGCCCGGCCAGCCGCCCACAGCCAGCGCCGACTCTCCGGCGTCGGCCGCAGCGGCCGCGCTCGCCTCGACCATTTTGCCAGCGCCATCGCTGCCCGCCGATCCGGCGTGCCCCTCACGTCCGCCGCCGCCGTCCGCCGCCATCCAGCCGTCCAGTATCAAGGCTCGTTCGTCCGTCCATGAAGCCTGCGTCGCCGTCTTCGCCTTCGCTGTCCTCGCCTCGCCGTCCTCGCCTCGCCATTGCTGTCTCGCCTCGCTTGCCCTCGCTCCCCCGCCTCGCCGCTCCTCACACTACGCCTCGCTTCCATGCTGCCGGTGACGCCGTCCCGTGACGACGAGGTAGTAGTACTACTAGTAGTAGTAGTAGTTTACTTTGTTAATACCTGCTATATTCTTCTCGCATGGATTGGAAATACATTTGTGGTTGTCGGCCATCGTAAATGCGTGACATGTATATGTGTTTGTCGGCCATCGTGTCGTCTTTTCTTGCGAGTTTGGTAACCTTCCCGCATGTGGGAGGTGCTTCCAAAAATTTTCGCTTCTCACTAATTGTTTTTTTTTTTTTCGGAGGGCTCCCATTGGAGGCTAGCCGGAGGAGCACGACTCAAGACCGCCCGCTAGCCTTTCTTCACCGGCACCTGCGGTATGACCCCTCTTTCCGCCACATGTAGTCATAGGTCGCGTTACCCAGTTAGGCGTCTCCCGTCCGAAACGGATACGGTTGGAAGTATGCGTTCTTCGCATATGTATAACCATATCCGTTTCGGATTGTCCATGTTATTTGGACAGCCCGAGATGCTTGTGACGAGGTTAGCTCCCATGTTCCGCTCCCGTCCGAGTCAAAGTTTGGCAGACCTCCCGTTGTTCTCTGGATACACACTCTCCCACGGGGCGTGTATCGGGAGAACAGCGAGAGGTGTCTTGAAATTCCGTCTCGGACGGGAGCGGAGCATGGAAGCTAACCTCTCGTCTTCAAGATGCTCGGGTGGGATTAGGACCTATCCTTCACCTATTAGATGGTAGGAGCGCGTTGTAGATGCACTTGCCGGTTTTATCACATGTTAACATTGCCGCATGACAGCAGCATGGGTGACCGTGAGTGGATGTACTCGGCTTCATAAGTAAGAGCCACGAATGGATCGATGGGACGACGAGTTCTGGAGCAGCATGCATTTGGCCCACCGCTAAAGGGTCGATTCGGATGCCGTGTCCTTGCAAATGAGTCACGGAAACAAGAAGAAGAAAGTAAAGGCTCAGGTGTTGAGAGATCTGTTCAAGCACGGGTTCGTTCCAAACTATACCCGTTGGCGCCACCATGGTGAATACCATCCTATTAGGGACGAGGTGGTGCGACCCGTCCTCGAGGAGTATGATGGCGATGCCGAGATGGTAGACATGATGGCAGACTTCCACGAAGCACGGTTTGGCGAAGGAATGGATGTGGAGGAAGATCCGGAGCAAACCGCGAAGGCCTTCTACGACATGATGGAGTCGGCACAGAAGCCCCTTCACGAGAAGACAAAGCTTACGCAACTGGATGCCGTCTCACGCCTGATAGGGTTGAAGTCGCAGCTGGGCATTAGTCGAGACGACTTCGATCTCGTGTTGAGCATTGTTTGGGGACTGCTTCCGGCAGATCATGTCCTATCGACGAACACCTACGCTACACAGAAGCTCCTTCGTGCACTTAAGATGTCGTATGAGGGGATCCATGCTTGTCCGAAGGGGTGCGTCCTGTTCAGGGGAGACCTCGAGGAAGTAAAAACATGCAGCAGATGATGGAGGCCAAGATGGAGGCCAAGATGGAGGAGAGGATCGTCACGTTGCACGCGCAGATGATGGCGCAATGTATGGCTTACTAAAGAAAGCTCGCAGCAAAGACTACAACACTCGAGATGCGAGAACATGGCCAGCTTCTTCCAGTCCATGCAGACGCCTTGGGCGCCTACACCGCCTCCTCTTCCAATGTTCGCTCCACCGCCTCCTCCTCCGTAGTTTTTTCCCAGCTCTGCTCCTGGAGGGACCCGGTGAGTATATTGACTCTTGCTTTAACTTGTGCGTCCATCTGCAGATACTAATGACATCACTTGGCGTTTAACTTGTGCGTGCAGTACGGTCGGCGGTTCGAACCCGTCTCCTGGAGGTCCCGCCATCGATGATGTCGTATCCACCACCGCACCCTATCCACCGTATCCACCTCCGCGGGCCCTCCTCCGACGTACTTTCGTGGCGCCGGTGCGCGGAGGGTGGCGAGACGCTGTAGCGCCTCGATTTTATCCAAGGGGTTTCCGTGGGCAAACCACAGGGGGGCTCTGGGGCGCGAGCGGACGACGAGACCGGGGACGGCGCGACGAGCTAGGTATTTGTCGATTCTATTATCATGTATCCACCGTATCGTCGAAGTTGTTGTCATGTATTTCTTTTCTTCGTTATGGACCTAGACTTGTTATGTTGAACTTCGTGTGATGGACGTCGACTTGTGGTGTTCGACGTGTTGGACTTCATGTGATGGTTGTAATGCACTTGTGTGGTTGTTATTGTGACATATATGTGAGATATATGTGATGTTGTGCGTTATTGTGATATATGTGGTGATGTTGGCGACAAATGTGATGAAATTGTGATATAAATGGTACTACCGGTGCTTCGGTGAAATTGGATTATAATTTGTGATTTTGCGGGGTTTTGATGCGAGAAAATGTAAAACAAAAGCAAAAAAAATTTTCCAACTTTTGCCGATTTGCTTAGTCGGGCAAAAACCCGGTGATGTAGTCTTTGCCGATCGCAATGGGAGGCAATCGACAAAGAGGTCAAACCTTTGCCGATCAAGCAACTCAAAGCAATCAATGCAAAGAACATTTCAAAAAAAAAATATTTTCTTTCTTTGTCGATCGCCGAAATGGCGGCCGATCCGGCAAACAATTTTTTAAAAAATTCTTTGCCGACCGCCGAGGAACCAAAGAATGAGAAAAGCTCGCTGCGTCATCGGTCGACGGCGCGCCACGTGGCTATGCCGATCTTCACCGGCGCGTGGCGATTGGCAAAGGCTTTGCCGATTGTGTGCCACGTGGTAGTCGGCAAATCCGCCTTTGCCGACCCAGGCTTTGCCGACGCTTCTTTTGCCGACCGCCACGTGAGCTGCGGTCGGCAAAGCCTTTTGCGACTGAGTTTATGCCTTTGCCGACCGGGGCAAGCAGTCGGCAAAGAGGCGTTTTCCTGTAGTGTTACCTGAAGACCCACACCTTGAGGCCAGCTCCAATGAGCTCCTTGTAGATGGGTAGCATGGAAACGATGGGATCGTATGTCGTCCAGTTATCATATATGTGCATGCTGCAAGATATAAAGAATATATGAGTTTAGCTTGCCCAGTATAATGAATCTAGTACATAAATACCCCAGTATACATATATGTTAACAGAAGGAAATGAAGCCATATGAAAAGATGGGTCAACTGAACTGGCTACTAGAAATCAGAAGTTTATTGACCCCGTAGGGCGCCATTAAGGCGTGTTGTATCGAAGAATTTCTCCTCCTTAATACAAAGATGCGCAAACCTTTTGCATGATGAAGAAAAAAAGGAATCATAAGTTTGGAACAATAGTACAATACAATACATACTTGCATAATTGCCATGGGTAGTCTATGAAGCCGCTGGTGTTGGCATGCATGGCCTTCTGCACGTCGGGGAGGTTCAAGTAGCTGGTCGAGTAGAAGGCGGTGCACGGATCGTATGACGGCAGCTTGGTCAATGGCTGAACGTACGTGTTCCAAAATCATGCAAGGTGAGACGTGAGAAAGACACCTAGCTAGACAGCCTAGAACAGATTATGGCGGGAGATGACGAAGACGATCGAATTACGGCAACTTACGCGGCGGCTCCTCTCGAATATGCGCGCGTATGGGTTCCCCTTCTCGCACGGCGGCGTGTAGATGCTGTAGCCGTCAATGTTGCCTTGCTCCTTGGTGGCCACGTCCCAGACCTTCTGGCACTCCGGCGAGGCGTGGATCAGGGAGGTTCCTGGGCAGACCTTCAGCCCGTTTGCTAGGGTCTCGTCGGAGATGAGGCCGTGGTGCCACCAGTACTCGAACATGCCGACCATGTCAGTGCTGTCGTCGGTCAGGCCGTTCCCGACCTGGAATTGGAATGAATTGAACCAAATTATTAGATGTGAATAATTCTTTCAAAAATTGTAGTTATACATGTTGTACTTCCATGTGTTTGTCCATTCGTTGATTCATTCGGCCCATCAGGTTCTTATGAAATGAAATCCTTTATTTGTGTCACAAATTGTGTGAATTCAGTTTTTTGACCATGCGCCACGCATGTCGGTCTATACCATGAAACCTTTGAAGTTAATGATAGGCTTGTCTACTCCGATGTTTCTCTGTAGACGAGCTGGGAGAGCCGAGGAACATAGTGACCTGCAGATCAAAACACTTCACAAATGAATTCACAACAAATCTCCCACATTCAACAACAAAAATACTACGGCACTACGCACTGACCTCCATATATAGCTCTCGCCGGCAATGTAGAAATCGCGGTACTTGTACTTGGGGAACCTCTCGAACCATTTCACCAGGAAAGTGTACGCATCGTGGGCTGCAAATAACAAAGATTCCTAAATGAAGTTTCAGACTGAAGATGGGTGATATTTGTCATATATATTCTTCATTCATGACCAACCCGTTCTGTTGTCGCCGACGATTAGGTCGAAGCTGGTGTTGCTGTAGGAGAACCCCACGCCGGCCAGCGACTCCAAAAACAGTACGTTCGCCGCTGCATGCCTTTTACATGTGAGTTTCACTGCACATCTCGACAGGTTTGCTTTGTGACCCAGTTCATACCTCTGTTCCACGCGTACTCGTTCAGCAGCAGCCTCTCGCCGTCTTCGTGGACGCGGAACGCACCGAGCTCCTCCAGCGCACCGGAGCCGATGGAGGAGCAGCCCGGCCCGCCGTTGAGCCAGAGGAGGAGCGGCGCGGTGTCCGGGTCCTCGACCGCCGTCTTGTCGGCCTCTTGCAACCAGTAGTAGAGCGCGCGGCCAGCTTGCTTGTCGACGGTGACGTAGCCCCCGTACATGTCGAACGCCACGTCGTTCGGCTGCCCTGGCAGGCCCAGAATCCGGTCGTCTTCACCCGAGGACCCTCGTGCCAGTGTCATCGGTAGCAGGAGGCCGCCGGCGGCTAGTGCCAGGAGCAGCGTTGTCGTCGTTGCGCCGCCGCGCCATGGAGAATAGTATTGGCCGGAGGAGCTGCTCATGGCCATATTTGCTATTGCTCTCCTCGTCTCCGCGACTGACTATGCATAGATGAGAACCAATAAAGGTTCAGTTATATATAGGAGTATATAGAAGCGAGCAAGCAAGGCTTATTGTTTGATTGTTTGATCGTTTGATTGATTGATTTAGGCACGTGTGCGGCATGCATAAATTGTAGGTCTACGTTGGCCTATCAAGTATCAACTACTCTCTCCGTCCCGAAAAAAATACAATTCTGTAAAACGTGTCGATCAAACTAGTTTAACTTTAATCAAGTTTATAGTAAATAGTATTAAAGCTTATGTCTCTAACTAGATTTATTATAAAATATATTCTATAACTAATCTAATGGTACTTAATTTGTTTCATTACTATTAGTATATTTTTATATAATTTTAGTAAAAGTTTAATATATTTGACTTCTCAAAATACGAAAATTGTATTCTTTTATGGACGCAGGTTATAGGTAAAAATGCTTGTCATTTCCTATAGGTGCTCCATCATAGGGGCATAGGGCCGGGGCTAGCATGAATATGACGGTAAGGACAACTACACAGCCACATTTGGTAGTGCTTGAGGAGCAGCTCCGCTCCCACGTCAAATGGCTCCACTCTAAAAAATGCATTGAGAGAAGTGTGAGTAGGAGTGGGAGCTAAAAAAAAAGGAGCTTTACCATGCATCCATAGGTTCAACCCACGGTTATGGTCCGATTTGCCCTATGGGTGCATCGACATAGGCAAGGCTGGCACAAGTCAGGCTAGCATGACGGTCTGGGAGTCATAGGATTGTTTTGTCCAATAATGGCCCGAATTTATACTGGTTTATGTATAGAGTACCCTATGTCCAATTAAGAATGCTTCTTTATATGTTTGTGTTTGGATTATAGGGGTGCTGATGATGTTTGTGGAGAGATTACATGTTGGGTATTGTGGATTGTCGATCAAGGCTCCCGTATTCCTCTTTATATAGTCCAGAGGATGAGGGTTGGAGTCCTCATAGGCTCATAGATATGGTTTTCTAGTTTGTTACAGGGAAATCTAATTAGGTCCGGGTGAATTTTTATATGTTACTTGGCTTCTAAGCATATCCGGTGGACCTTTACAAGTTATTACGAGTTACACGGCGGCAGCACATCTCTTGCATGGCCTGGGAGGCAGCCCCAAGTCGAGGACGCAGCCATGGTCAATCTCACGCCCCTCTTCAGTCCACCGTGTTATGTTCGTTGTTCATCGGTGCCTCTGCTTCCCCTCGGTTTTATGTAGGTTCATACATCCTTGTTCTTTTCGCCAATTTCTCCGTGGTGTTCATGCCTTGCTTCTCTAATGGCGAATACTGTACCTCTATTTCCATTTCTCATGGCGGGTCCCTCGTCGAAGAGATTGGGGACGGTGCTCCATGCCTAGTGGACATCGAGATCCGCCTCCTACGAGGTCGACTTCTCTTTGTCACCCCTCATCCTTTGCGCTCTACTTCGACTCTTGATTGATTTGTTCATGTGATGTTGTCGCGTGCAGAAAGGGAAGAAGCAGCGCTAGATGTGCACCTGTAGTCGTCTATGAAGCAAATTTGCTTTCAATTTTTAATGGATTGATTTATAGAGGCAGACGTTTTAATTGCTCGTGGTCTTTTTTTTTTTGCGTAATAACTGCTCATGGGTTGTAGAACCGCCTCAGAAAACTACATTTGCCTGTTTCTAAAAACATTGTATGTAATAGTGGCTCCTCCCTTGAATATGTGAGATCCTCCTCTGAATACCTGAGTGCACATAACGATACGGGCGGTCGGAAAATATCCACCCTATTATCACCTGTACTCATCATAATCTGCTCCATATAAATGGGCTTGTGTTTTTTTTTTCTCATTTACTAGCGCACTACCTTCTCAAAGCTGAAAGAGAGCCTCCTTAGTCCTCACCGAGGAGGATCCTAGATATGCTCTCAGCTGCCATGCGCAAAGGGCCCAACAAGAAATCAAAACCCTGTCACCGCTTTGGGCGAGGACGCGCGCGTACGTCGTACATGATGCGCTCGTGGTCCTCCGATCCTCTGCACCATTATCGACGCTTGAATGCTCCATCTATCAACCAGTCGGCAGCAATGGCAGTGCGCATCACTGTCGTCGTCATGGATCCATCTTGCACGTACTGTCTTCCTCCATCGTCGTATATGGACATGTGATGCCCTCGTGGAGTCGTGCACCCGTGGTCCTGCTCCCGTCCTGCACCATCGTCGCCACTTCAATTCGCCACGCGCAGGACGGAGCTCGACCTATCGGCTGCAATAATGGTGCTGCGCGTCAGTATCGTCGTCCTCGAAAGATCTTGTCTTCTCCATAGCGAGTACGCTCGGAGATTCGCAGTGGATGCGCTGTGATTTTATTCTCCTTCGGTCGTCGACGTCGCGTCGCATCGCGTGGCAATGTGGCATGCATGGCTCCGGCCGATGTGGCGACATGACCATGTCTCGGGTTTATTTATGGCATCACTGTCATCCTCGATCACGATCAATTGACACGATCGCTAGTCACACTAGCTGCATGCAAACGCGAGCTAGAGCACGTGCTCATTGGCCACGGTCCACGGACCAAGTGCTCTTGTAAAGTCGTATTCCGCTGTAGATACTGATAATGGCATTATGAAGGCCCATTCCAATTGCAACAGACTCGAAAAAATTGATTAAACAAAATCCCTGCTCCATCCAAGCTGGTGAGATTCTACCTGGGGTTATGGAAATCCCAAGACATCTTTTTGAAAGGCAAAATTTGTAACAAACACCGCTTAAATGTGGTATTTGTGGATGAACACTATCAACCCGTTAATTTGCCCACTACCATTATAAAATCATGCTTCTTTGCCATTAGACACCATATGCAATAAAATATTCATTTTTACTGTCAAGGGAAGATAGAAATTTTCCAAAATAATACCTGGTGCCCCGAAGCATGGGATGACAACCTAGCTAGACCTGAGTTGGTCGAACTAGATCAAGTTGAATCTTGACCAACCCAGACCTAAGTCAGTCCATTCAACGAACCCTACTAGGCAAAGCTTACCCCCCAACTCCCACCACCCCAAAAGCGCCCTCTCGGCTGCCCGCCACAAGCGCTCGCTCGCCCGCCACTGCCACAATGGCTGACTGTCGCATCATCCAGTACCCAGCAAATAAATGGATGTATGAAGATGGCCTCGCCAGCAAAACTGGAGAAGATCTGTCCGAGCATAGATTCACCGTTGAAGGGAGCGAATTTGTCCCTATAAGGTATGTCGTTTCCTCCTCTTCTTGTTTAATTTGGTGCACAGGTGGTCCTTGTTGCAACGGTTTCATGATGGATTTGCCCTGCGCTTCTTAGAAGTACATGTTCAACCAAATCCAAGGATTTCATGCTTCTTGTTCTTGTCCATCTTTTAGGTTGGACACTAGTTCTGCTTGATGAAATGCGGTGTGTGTCCCACCTTATCATGAGGTTTGCAATGATGGTAAGCACGTGTCTCATGTCTTTGAAGATTTTCAACTAGTGGTGGATAGGGACACTACGAATTTAAAAGATTTGACAAATGATATAGCAGAGTGTCTCATGGATGGAATCAAAGCATTCATTTGTCATTCTTCAACAAGGAGACCATGTCTTACTCCAATATCATTCTAACACAATTTTGATGGAGGCTATTGACATGTACTGGGTTCTAAGGAGGCTACATGTGGTTGTGAGCATATATGCCAATTGTAGTGGCCTATAGTTAAAGTGTGTCTATTGATGATGAGCCAGGTCTATCTATTGCTCCCCATGTGCTAGATGTTGATATTGCCTTTCCCAGCGCTGGTGACACTAACATTGGTGCGGAAGAGGATGATGGTGTTGCTGATGATAGTGACTCAATTGGTGTCCTCTAGGGGGATGGTGGCTCTGCTGAGAAAACAATAGCAGGTATAGGAAAGAAGAGAAAACGTAGGAAAAAGGTTGCGGATGATGATGAACCATTGGAAGAAGATGATGAAGAATATGTTCGGATGAATGATGAGCTGCTGCATGACCATATAAACTCAAAATATGAACCTTCTGACTCTTACTCTAGTTATCAGGATGAGCACTCTGTTGATGATTAAGTAGGATGTGTGGCTTTTGGACATGTAAATAACTTAGAAAACTCCTCGCAAAAAAACTTAGAAAACCACACGATAGCTTGCGGGGTCACATTTGAGGATGAGGACACCTTTAAGAGGGATATTAGGAAATTTGTAGTACTTAATGAGTTTGAAATTGTCGGACCCAAGAATGAGAACAATGAGACAACAAGGTATAGAACATACTGCAAGTGTTCCAAGATCAAGAGCAAGAAGTGTAAGTGGAGGATTTATGCTTCTCAGCTATAAGATAGCAAGACTTGGCAAGTCTATACTGAATAACTAGGATGTTAATTTTTTTAGTATATTACGTTTACGTCTTTCATATTTTAGTGTAGGCATGTCACTACTTCATGGTTTTTGATTTCTGTATGTTGTTGCTCTTTGTTGCAGATAAAGAGGATGTATGACAAGCATGCCTATGCTAGCATAGCCAGACTGGACTATAACTCACTACTATAGGAACTATTTTCGTCGTCGGTTTCTATAGAACCGGCGGTGATAATGTTTCAGCGCCGGTTCAAAGGCCAGTGGGGCGCCGTGGGTTGGGGAGGAAAACCAGCGATGAATATTGTTTTCAGCGTTGGGTCGGTATATGATCCAGCAGTGAAAATTGTAGTGGTTATCACCGTTGGATCATACACCGACCTGGCGGTGAAAACAATTTTCACTGCTGGTTTTTGGCTCACTACACCATGCACTTACAAACCGGTAGACAAAACAAGTTTCACTGCCAGTTAGAAGGGTAGACGGAAGTAGTGGCCGTTTGAGCGATGGTGCAAATTGCTATCACTGCTGACTTGCCGGATGATTAGCGGTGATAACCACCGGAGAACATTTGAAGGAATTGGAGGAGACGACAACACTCCAGTCTTTGCAGGCTAGCA